CCGGGCTGCCAGATCTTTCCTGAAGAAACAGGTCACCGACGAGTCTCTTGATCAGTGGCAGGTGAGAGGCAGCGAAGGTCAGAACTGACTGCGAGCGAGCTCGAAGGCCAAGCTGGTCTTAACTTCAACTAACGGGAACTGTTATGACTGTGTCGCCCCGCCCGATCCTCCCCGTCCTGCTTCTGATAAGTCTATATATTTGCGGTCACCGATTTGTACACACTATTGTTAATTATGTAGTATTTATTGTTCATCGCTACAGTTCCTTCGGCTTTTGAAACGAAGTGCTATTATTTTCAAGACATATCACTGCAATCTGCTTCATCCGGCGTGGGACTCGAGCAACGGGGTAACATGTTCTATGTTGACTAAATTATCTAAACTTATCTAAATCGCAGCAATTTTTTTACTTGATGAATGATGCATCGATTTCTCGGCATACCAATGCCGTTTACAAATACAAATTTAAATACAAATTTAAAATTGGAAATGTGCGACATATGAAAATGGCGGAAAAACTACACATTGTCCGCCTGAGCGTGGCGCAAATACGATTTATTGTGATTCGCAGCTACAATGTCAGCGACGTAATTTAAGGAGTGAAGGGAAATATTGTATTGACACGAACGTACGTCACTGCCTGCATTGTCATGCGCTGTCAAGATGCAAACTTTTCGATCCACCAGTTTTTGGGTGTTTGTTTTATTGGGACAAGCATCAGGCAACCACTACAAATCAAATAAACAAAACAGACCACGCGGCTTGGAGAAACATCTCATTTACAGCCAACCTTTCCAGTCAGTAATGGATAGGAAAGCGGTCGATGTGGCTTACAGAATTTTCCGAGTACACGTTACCGCGTTCGAAAACAAATGACCGATCAACCTTGATCAATAAGTGGGGATCCAAAAGCATTGACGTTTGTGCTAATGTTTTGGCCACAACGACTACCAAAAGCCATTAGACACCAGATACTGGCTGGCCTCGGCAGACCAGATACTGGCTGGCCTCGGCAGAACAGATACTGGCTGGCCTCGACAGACCAGATACTGGCTGGGTCCGGCCAGAACTCTTCCTGCTTTTGCGGAACCCACATTTTCTTGAGCCAATGCGATCTGTGAATTAGCGCGAACATTTAATCAGCGAACTCTTGACTTGACAAAACTTCTTATGAAGACAGACGTGCTAACGTAATTGGTCACACCCATCTTCGTGGGTTCCCAAAGGCGTCTGGCTCCATTAAATGCTTCGTGACTAGAACAAGTCGAGCAAGCGCTGTGTTTCGTCATGTAAGTTTTCGTATTCTTGCGAGCAAAACCGCTGCATTAATGCACACATTCGCACCTGGACCTAGAAATAAACAATGGCGTCTGATAAGTACTGCTGCCCAGCTAACCTGATCTTATATCTTACCCACGTTCTGATCTGCGTCGCCATCTGCAGTCTGCTGAGCTTTGCTCCGCCATGACTGGCGAGTTTTCTCCAATTCCACTTATTATTTTACTCAGCCAACCTAGTGATGTATCTCCCAACTGATATGCTGCTTTCTCATGACTGGTGCCGTGCCGTGCCCATATTCTCCGTACAGTTCATCGGCCTGTTTATCCTGCGCATTCTTCACTTCAGCTTGAACTTCTGCACTACTGCTGTGGATGTTGGTTTTGTTTTTGATGATGCAGTGGTGTACTGGCTGGTCATTTTTTTTTGGGGGGGGGGGGGCGCTGTTTCTCTAATCAGCGTGCCCTGTTCTGTGCTGTGGACCGGTTTTTCTCTGATGCAGCATATCCGTTAAATCGATGACGCTACCCGGCCGTTTCAACGGGTCCAGGCGCACGGAAACTACCGCTCCGTTTCTATCCTCAGGACCAGGCGTACGAAATCCTAAACGCCATGAGTGCCATGTTCACCACGCACTGCAAAAAGCTATCGCAAATTGTACCTAGATCTGGAGAACGCGTGGTACGAACAGCTGGACCAGGTTGGCGATGATCTGGTTAGCAGGTGGGTAAACAACATTGCTGAGTGTTCGCCCAACTTAAACGATTGGAATCTGGTGGCGATGCTTGGCCTAGGCCTCTTCAAATATGTATTTCATCCCGGTTTTACCGGACCTCGCACGGTTTGGGGCAGTGTACTGTTCTCGGAACACTGAAAGATAGTTTGGATGATGCCCGCTCGGTTTCGGTTGGGAATGTTGGCATTACTTGAGAGCCGGCGGGGCCCACGCCCGAATGCTCTTGCCTCGCCGATACGTCAGCCCTGGAGTTGCACTGTCCGACAGAGCTTGAATCGGAGCGATCTCACCCGACGCGATCAGGCCAGCCCGAACGAATTAGGGCGGAACCGAACTGACCCGAACTGACTTGCCTTCGCGACCTTTTCGCAGACTTGTGTATCTTTAGCAGGCTTATCATATGTTATGCGCGTGCCAGTATAACGGCACAATCAGAGTGTTCTCCCTTATGGAACGTCTGCACTAACAGTAGCGTGTATTCTGTCTTGAAAGCAAAGACTTGCTTGTTTCTCACCACAGAATGCCCGAAGAGCTCTGCTCGGTGGCCAGGCTGCTTCATAAACACGCGATCAGTTACGTATTCTACGGAGCGGGTTAACGGGGGACACGTGTCCCCTCTCTTATGACATTTGTACATGCATGAACACGCATGCCACTAAATATCGAGAATTTGAAAATCGAAGTAGACACTAAAAGCAGGTAGACTGAAAACCTGTTATGTTGTTATAATATCCCCTGGAAGAAATTTCACCCACCTGCTGCGCGCCAAAATATTTGTTTTTGGTGACCAACACTGAGCTGTGTTCCTCATTGCAAGCTCCTGCATATATCCATGCATGAAACTGAGACATTCAGGTCATACGCCGGCAATTCTCATTGCGACGGAAATGCCTGCTTCTGTACCACATGTCACCCAAACATGAGAAAACGTGTCACGTGAAAGAACAAAAGTGTCGGCGCTTTTATTGGCCGAAGTTCAATGGCAGGATATACAATCTTTATTGAAAAACGTGCATTGCACCTGTGTCCTAAACAGTTATGGACGGCGCCGTCCTTGCACACCTCCCGTTGTCCTATGCCATGATGCTACTAACATCTGCCACGACTGTAGCTACTCAAGAAGCGCATGAAATTGGCAACAGGTACGTCATGAAATAGATACATCAGTAGAACGAAGTTCAGTGTGTTTCGTCATAAGCGCTCTTCTGTTTGAAGGTATGTTTGGCATCACCACATACGTGTTCATTCTTCACGTCATCTGCCTTTTCTTATGCCACACTGGGCAGGCTGCTACTGTTGTATGATTAACGTGTTTGCCATTGTCCTTCACTAACCCCATTATTCGCCTTTAAATTGCGACCAGCCTATTCGTTGCGCTTGCCATTCATCAGGTCTAAACTCAGATGTTGCTATTGTGGATATGGTTTATTTTTAATGGTGCAGAATGCACTCGTAATAATCACTGTTATGGACATGGTTTTATCTTTAATGCGCGAGACAACACATTCGATGCTCATGATAGTGAGAGGGAAAGGAGCAACAACATACCACAGGCAGACAAACAACAAGGAGCATCGGCAGCGATGCAGTACTGAGCACTTGAAAGGAAACACTGGACAGGCGTAGCCACCACACAGGCAGCGCGGCTCTCGGCGCTCCGCCAGAGCGGAAGACTTTGGACGCCACCTGACAGAAGATCGTGACGCCCTCTGACGAACAAGGCAGCGAAGCGTTGAGCGACCCCATTAGCATTGGACGCGGCACCGCCACGCCGGGGGCGGCCCGGAGCCGACCGCAACGGACGGCCCCGGCACCGCCGGAGGCGCGGCGCCCACCCTGGACTAGATCGACGACAACGCGTCGTGCTTAGAGAGAGGGGAAGAGAGTGGGAGAGCGAAGCGCTCAGCCGTTGTGGGTGTAGCTGTAGACGTAGCCCTTGTCGTTGCGCTCCAGCGACACCTTGCCGGTGTGGAAGTTCTTGCGGACGGGGCGGCGCGTCGTCGTCGTGGTCGTTGTCGTGGCGGCCGTGACCGGCGCGAAGACGGCCGGCGCCGCCGTCGGCTGGCTCAGGTCGTAGTTGATGTTGAAGGTGTTGGTGTTGGCACGCGCCGGCTGGCTGGCGGCCGGCCGCGGTGCTGGCGCCGACTGCGGCGCCGAGCGGGGCTGGTCCGGCGTCTTGTCCACGTGCGTGCTGCTCACGATCTGGAAGCCGCCTGCGCCGGCCCACGTACTCGACGCGGTATTTCTTGTTGTCATCGCCGACGTACTCGTAGGAGCCGCGGCGCTCACCGTCCTTGCTGGTCGTCTCCTTGAAGAGCACGCCGTCCTCCTGTGCGTAGGCCACGTCCGAGCTGCCGTCGGCGTTCAGCTGGCGCGTCTCGGCCAAGATGGCGGCCGCGGCGGGGTCGCCCGAGAACCGCATGGCGCCGGCGGCCAGCGTCAGGCTGCAACACTACCAGAAGTCTGTACATCCTGACGGTCGAAACGGACAGGGGAAGAGTGGCGAGGCTCCCGCCGGCGCGCATTTATACGGCCGCCGCTCGGCAGCCTTGTGACGTCACTGGTGCTGGCCGCCGGCGTCCGGCCTCGCCGCGGAGGCAGAGCGGACGCTGGTCCCCCCCCCCCCCCCCATCACTCAGGCGACCAGTGGGGTAGCCCGCGCGCCGGAACCGAATCCCATTGGCGGACCCCCTGCTGCGCTCAGGATGTGCTGCTGGGCGCGGCTGACCACCGCAGGGGAGCCGGCATGATTAGTGGTGCTGTTTGCATTCGCGTCGGTGGCAGGCGCAAGCCTCGTGACGATCGCCCGACAGTGCAAGTGTGGTCCCCGGAACATGCGATCGTCAAGTTGGAAAAGTCTTGACACTGAAATATTAACCACTGCATTTTTTGGAAACGTGCTCCATAAAGCGAGAGAATTCGAATAGGCTTGCTGCTACTTGTGCCTTCATGATAATTTTGTTCAGAACCTTAAGATGGCCGTCGCCGCCATGTCGAATGCTAAACAATTTTTTATACAGATCTGGATCGCAGATGGTCGTCCAATATCTTTATGGGGTTATTATGATTGGTGAGCTCTTTTGGACTTACTTTTGATTCACGAGGTCTAATTTAACGCCAAATTAGAGTCAAATGCCAAATGTCAAATGTCAAACATAGGGCAGACCTTCAACGCCTAGTGTGACGACATCTAAGAGACCATGGGCGCAGTACTACCAGCCAGCACCCGTCACGTTCCTCCATTATTTTTCATAGTCGTGATCACTCTGTACATTTAACTCCCCTTTCGTTGTCTTTGACGTTCATTTACTCGCTGGTACAACGGCTAGAGGAGAGAAGGGAGAGCTCTATCAGTTTTTACTCTGAGCTCCCTCCTGGTATAACCAGTGAGGACATGATTAATATTCTTATATCTGAATACAGGTATAACCTTCAGATTCATATGTAGCGGTAAATTTGGAAGAGCATGTATTTTTTCTTTTGGTAAATGACTTATGAATGATCTCCCTTCAAAGGATGAATCACCCCACTGAGCGTAAACGTCATCAATCCAGCCCCAGAACACCGTTACTTGCAAGGGATTCCACTGTACTTGCTACCGATTTACTCTGTTTGACCTGTGTCCAGATACGTGAGTTTATCTGTCTTTTGGCCCACAGTGTTTCCCAAGCAGCAGACAGCGTCACTTCAAATTAAGGTTATTTTATTGGGACTCGAGCAGCTTAGGAAAAATTGCGGTATGAGCCCGTAAAGAGCTTCTTGTTTGTTGGTTTCGACTCCTCGATATAAAGGTACAGTAGCATGATTTGTGAGCAAGATACGACGTTCTAGAAGAGTTGTGTGTCGCTCATTGCTGATTTACGATCAAGTTTGACCTTTGACCTTCCATTAATCTTAAATCTTACCTCAAAGTGACTGCAAAGATTAGCTCCATGCCATCAGAAATTTCTGAAAACGGTGCCACATCACTCTACAAGTCGTCGAGAAACCGAAACTGGACCAACATCCAAGATCGGATCAAGCCCGTGTGGCAAGCGAAAGCCTGATAGTGAAATTCAAATTGGGTCCATAGGTTGAACAATGCCGCAAAAGTGATGTGCAGTAAAGACGGTCTATCGAGTTCATTTGTATCACTCTACCCTAGTGGTCATCGACAGATCAGTGAGAAACTCTCACAAACCTCAACAAAGCTATAGTTTTGTTTTTACTAGTGAGTTAAAAACGCCTTAGAAGCTCAAGGCATGCAACTCTTTATCGATGGATGTCTTTAGTTCTATCAATTTTGTTCAGACTTTTGCCAGTGTACCTCAAGCCCGCTGCGCCCAAGCATGACCCAGGGCTGGCTTTGTGGTGGGCAGCGTTTCCAGAGATAATCAGAGTTACCTAGTTCCCTCCGTTCGGTGATATCCCGCTTCTTTAACGCTGCTGGACCGGGAAATGAGCGCCCGTCTTAACAGCGGAAGGGAAAACTCCACGTCAGAAGACATTAAAGCAAGTGTCAGATCTGATGAAATGAGCCCATTTATAACTATTGGTGTGCTGAAATCGGAAAAGGCTGTTTCAGATAACACAATTTCTCTGTTTAGTAAATATACTCCTCAATACGTGAACATTTAAGCAGTCAAATTGGGCCATCGTGCCTTGCACAACATCGATTGAGAGCTAATTGACGGCCGTTATATCTGGAAATGGCGCTCACGTACGCCAGATATGAACGACGGTCAATTTTATTTTTATTGGCCCTGACGCCGCATGGCCAACAGAATGGCAGGATTTTAATAAGGCTATTATGGCGTCATAGATGTCTGGGTGACCTTAAAATAGTCTCCTTGCAAAGGTCTGCACACTTCGCGGGTATGCTGCTCAGAAACTAGAGAGGTTTGTGTTTTAAAGAGAGAGCTGTGGACTGCATCGAACGAACTTCATGATGGCTGTTTCAGTTCAAACCCCCATTGTGGGACACTCCCTTTAACACGCGCCCGGGTGG